CGCCTGGGCCATCTTCTCAATGGTTGTTGTGCTTGGGTCCATTGTGGCAGTCACTATGCCACGCCCGTCTCCTTGAGCATCTTCATCTCCAAACCAATGCTTGTTAATCCTTTCCAAGAATCAGCTTCGTAGCTTAATGGTTTTTCCATTGTTTTTCTATTTTCCAGTTCATATTTTGCTTTAGTCTATATTATTTCTTTTCTCCTGTTAGTTGAGTTTGTTGTGCTGCTCTTGTTTTAGTTGTTGGAGATGCTGTGCTAAAGCATTGGTTTGGGTTTTCTCCTCTTTTTTCTTTTCTTTTTTTTTTCTTCAGATGTGCATTGATTGCTATAAATTGCCCTCAGATAACAACTTTTGCTGCATTCCAAAGATGTTGGTATGTTGTGTTCTCATTCTCATTCGTTTCCAGGAATAGTTTTATGTTACCCCTTATTTGATTTATTACTCATTCATTTTTAAGTAGGATGTAGTTCATCGTCCATGCAAATGACTTTTTACCCTTGTTCTTTCTACTGCTCCCCCCTCCCCCCCTCGTATGAGTGCTGTGGTCTGAAAAAATGAGTCGTAGAATCTCAATGTTTTTTGGTTTAAGACTTGCTTTGTGACCTAAAATGATGTCTAGTCTGGAGAATATTCTGTGTGTGCTCAAAAAGGGTGCATACTGCGCCTGGTTGGATGGAGTGTTCTCTACACGTCTAGGAGGTCGAGTTGGCTGTGTTGCTTAGTTCATCTGTGTCTTTATGGAGGTTTTTGTTGTTTTTGAGCTATTTCTTTCTTCAAAAGACCCTCAAAATAACTATGTATTAATGTATTCATACATCAATGTATTAATGTATTGATTAATGTATTTCGGGGGTCTTTCATTGGGAGCGATATGTTTAATATGGTTATATTTTCTTTTTCTATTACTCTTTTAATCTTCATTATGCAATGTTTGGGATTTTTGTTGTCTCTCATGATGTTTTTGTTTCGAAGTCCATTTAATCAGAGATTAATATGGCCATTCCTGCTTTTGATGGTGGTGGTGGTGGTGAGCTGTGAATAGCTTTGTTTTGTTTTTTTCTCCATCCTTTGATTCTTAGGCTAGTTTTGCTTTTGTGTTTAAGAGTATGTCTCATATAGGATGCATGGGTCTTACTTTTGAAACCAGTGTGCTAGTTTCTGTTTCTTGACTGAGATTTAATCCATTGACATTCAGTGTCATTATTGATATGTCTGGATTTGTTTTCACTTTCCTGTGTGTTTTTTATTTTTGCTTTTGTGGTTTTGTTGGCTTCTTTGTTCTTCCCCTATTTCTGGGTTGTCTTGAGTGCTATTCTCTGCATTAATTTCAGTGTGTTGATGATTGGATGTTGCTCTCAGGGTTGTTTGCTGTTGTTGCTTATTCTCAGTCCAAAATATTCCAGTTAGCATTTTTCATAATTCTTGAATTCTTTTTATAAATCCCTTTAGTTTTTTATTTCCCTCTCTAGAAATACCCTATTTCTCAGTCATATTTGAGAGAAAGTTTTGCTGGTATAGCATTCTTGGTTGGCAGTTTTTTCTTTCAGTATTTTATATTTTATATTATTCCTTTAATAAATAATAAAGACTAAAGCAAAAAAATGAACTGGAAAATAGGAAAACAATGGAAAAATCAATTAAGATATGAAGCTGATTCTTGGAAAGGATTAACAAAAATGACAAACCACTGGCAAACTTAACACAGGAAAAGAAAGAGAAGATGCAAATATCTAGAATTAGCAGAGAAAAGGGTGACATCACAACAAGCCAAATGAAATAAGAGGAATAATAATACATTGCTATGGAAGACGGTCCTCCAACAATTTAATATTTTATATCTTGTTTCATTGTCTTCTTGCCTGCATGGTTTCCGCTGAAAAGTTCAAGCTTATTCTTACTGGTTTTCCTTTACAGGTTACTGCTCTTTTTTCCATTGCTTCTTGCAAAATTCTCTGCTTTTGCTTGATATTGTAAAGTATGACTATAATATATCAGGATGGTTTTCTTTGGGGGTCGATCCTGCCTGTAATTCTCTTCGTTTTGAATAGGTATTTCTTCCTCCTTTATGGTTACATAGTGATTACTCATTGGGCTGTTAATCTCAAGATTAGCAGTCTGAAACCACCAGCCACTCTGTGGGAAAAAGATGAGGCTTATCTACTCCCATAGTCTCAGAAACCCACAAAGGCAGCTCTACCCTGTCCTACAGGGTCACTATGAGTGAGAATCTACTCCTTGGCAGTGAATTTGGTGTTCTTGTTGTTTTTGGTATGGGAAATTCTCTTTCAAGATTTCTTGTACTAAATGTGCTTGACACAATGGATGGATGGATGGGTTGTGATAAGAGTTGTACAAGGCCCCAATAAAATGATTTAAAAAAAAAGATTTCTTGTACTATTTTCTCTGTAGATTATTTTGCTTTTTTTTTTGTTCTGGGATCTCAATGAAACATAGGTTGTTCCTCTTGATGGTGTCCCACATCATTCTTAGGCTTTCTTCAGACTCCTTAAAAAAATCATTTTATGGAGGGTTTGTACAGCTCTTATCACAATCCATAAATACATCCATTGTGTCGAGTACATTTATACATATGTTGCCATCATTTTCAAAACATTTTCTTTCTACTTGAGCCCTTGGTACTATCCCATCCACCCACCCCACCCCACCCCAACCCCCGGCCCCATGAACCCTTGATAACTTACAATTTTTCCCCCATGTCTTACACTGACCAATGTCTCCCTTCACCCACATTTCTGTTGCCCACCCCCGTGGAAGGAGGTTATATGTAGATCATTGTGGTCGGTTCCTCCTTTCTTCCCCCCAGCTTCCCCTTACCCTCCCTCCTTTGTTTTTGTTGTTGATAGTTTCTCTCATCAGTTTTATTAGAAATAATTGCTTTCAAGCTCACTAATTCACTTTTCCTTTTCTTTGATGACAGCACACTATTCTTTTATCATGGTTTCTATTTCTGTTATTTTACTCTTTATTTATTATTTATCTTCTGGAATTCTATTTAGTGTAGGGTTTCTATTTGCCTGGTCACTGAGACATCTGGAGCCTTCCTTACTGGGAGCTGGGATGGTTGGAGCCTACCTTCTGTGGGGGCAGGAACCACTAGATCCTATGTTGCCACAGGGAAAGGACTCATGGGGTCTTACTTTATAGGAGGGAATAGGAACAGCCAGACCTTCCATGCCTGGTCCCAGGGACAGCAAGGGCCTTCCTTGAAACGAGGCTGGGGATTGCATGGCTGGAACCTTCATTCTCACATCTCAGGGAAAGCCAGGGAGAGTCCTCCTTGTTGGGATGTAGATATGCCCAGCACCTTCTTTGCCAACTTGCTGGGATGGCAAGGGTCTTCATTGCTGTGGGGACAGGGAAAGCCAGGGCCTTCCTTGCTGGGATACAGTGACACTTGGTGCCCTCTCTCCTTGCCAAAACTTGGAAACCCCAGGGACCTTCTTCCCCCCATCTCTGGCCCTATGTTTCCAGGGGCAGGGCTGCACAGAGCCTTCCTTCCCTAGTCTCTGGTGAAGTTAGGAACCTTCCTTGCCAAGTTAGTGGGGTGGCTGGCATCTGCCTTGCTTGGGAGCTGGGACACAGGAGCTTTCCCTGTTACCATTTGTTTTCCCTTTGAACCCATTTTAAACCTAATCTAGTCATTATTTTCTGCTTTCTTTTGGATTGAGGTTTTTCTGTGTTTTATTTTTATTTTGCTGATGGCTATTTTGATGTTCTTATTTTTATGATTTTTAAAATATTAAATCCAGGATAGGTAAATCTACAGAGACAGTAAATAGATTAATAGCTCCTTATAGTTATAGCAGGGGAGGTTGGGGAGAAATGGGAGCTAATAATAATAGATACAAGAGTTAAGAAAATGATATAAAATTGATTGTGATGATAATTTCAAAATTTTTAATATATTTAAACCATTGAATTACTTCATGCATGAGTTATATATGGCAATAAAATGATTTGTAAAAATAGATTTAAAGTATACAAAACCCTATGGATCAATTCTACTGTGTCTTAAAGGGTCCCTAAGAGTTCAAATCAGTTGGATTACAGTAGATTTTTGTCGTTGTTAACTACCGTTAAAGTCCCAGGGTGGCACAAATGATTTTTATTCAACTACTAACTTGAAGGCTAGAGGTTCAAACCTACCCGGTAGTGTTACAGAAGAAAGGTTTGGCAATCTGCTTTTAGAAAGATATATTCTTTTCAGATCCATCTAACACAATGTAACTATAAGTTTAATGAGTTTTCAATATACTCTCATGTAATGCTAGAATCATGTAGTGCTAAATAGATTATTTGATTATATATTTACTGAAAATTGACCAATGTGACTAGCACAAAACTTCTTTGGTCTAGTGAAAATACCAACCTACCCACTGCCATTGAGTTTATTCTGACTCATAGTGACCCTACAGGACAGAGTAGAACTGCCCTTTGGTGTTTCAAGGCTGTAAATCTTTACAGAATCAGAAAGCCTCATCTTTCTCCTACAGAGCAGCTAGTGGGTTCAAACTGCTGACCTTATGTTTAGCAGCCCAATGCATAACCCACTATGCTGCCAGGACTCCAGAAAATATAAAAAGACCACAGAAATAACTGAGTTAGGGATATTTAGCAGCTAGTTTTCCTCTCCATTCACCATTCCATATGGTGAAATACAGGGCTTCTCTTTTGACTTAATATTGAGTAATTCTGAGGCTCATTACACCTGAATTTTCACAAGTTCAATATCTGGCTTATGTATAATTCACTTATCTCTCGAACTCTAATTCCCTAATCTCTATTCACAAGAAACTGTTAGAGAAGGATAAGGTTAGAGACAAAAAGACATCTTTCTTCGTGGAAATCAAACTGGTTTCCCTCCATGCTGCCATTCGACCTTGGTCCTGCCCTTGGCTTTTGATCTGAGGGAATTCTTATAAATCCAGGTCATTGAGGAACAACCCAGCCCCCACTCAGGACTCCACTTTACTTACTGCACTTGTCTTCACAGACTCATCCTCCGGCTTAGCTTTTATATCAACAATTCCATCAACGTGGCGGAAGGCGCAATCAGCAAGGACATCGTAAAATGACAGCTTCCGGGCTTTCAAGCCATATTTCTGTAGCCACTGCATGGAGTCCCAATTGTCCTCTGGATTGGAACCATCCTCCACAGAGATTGCTCCTGATTCTACTTCTGGAATCACAGTTCAAAAGACATTTATAATACAACCACTGGATTTATTTATTTATCTTAATCAGAACCATTTTCATTAAGTTGATTCTCACTCATAGCCAACCTAGAGGATAGTGGAACTGCACCCATGGGATTTCCAAAAATGCAACTCTTTATGGATACAAACGACCACATCTTTCTCCTGTGGAGCGATTAGTGCATTTGAATCCAGGACCTGTCAGTTAGCTGCCAAGCACTTTAATCATTATGCCAACAAGGTTCCTATTCATATTATAACCAAAATTTAATATTTACCAAAGTAGAACATATGATGTGGCAAACCACATTCATTGTAGGAAATTTGCCTTCCAAAGCAGGACTGGAAATTGTTAGTCCATAAACTGGAGAGTAAGGATCTGTTCTTTTTCCTTTTAGCAGTAAACCATTCTATATTGTCAACTGAAACCAGTAACTGATGGTGATAGGGATTTTCCCAAAACAACAGGCAGTCTTTTCTTCAGTCATTTTCTTCTCCGGAACTGACTTCTCTGAAGGTTTGGGTGAGGAACACTGCCTGGTGCTTCCTTGTCACACTTCATCAAGAAATGGCAGAGCACTAGTCTAACAATAGAACATGCCACCTCCCATGCCTCCCATCCCCCGCCCATTCCACCCATCCCACCCATGCCAGGGTCCTTCTCTTCTTTAGGAATTTCTGTGACTACAACTTCTGCTGTGGTCGGTCAACAGAGAGGCTACTCAAGCAGCATCCAACAACGCAGTTCTTACAACCTTGGTTGTATCAATGATTCCTTTTTCTACCATATTCACAAATCCTCCAGTCATAGCATCATAACCAATTTCTGAGGAACTCTGCATGATTTTCTCAACTATCAATGATCCTTCAACACCTGCATTCTTAGCAATGGTCATTGCAGGGATTTCGAGTGTTCTTTTAATAATCCCAATACCAATTTTTTTATCTTCATTTGCTGGAGTTAATGAGTTCAAGGCCGGAATGCACTGAAGCAGAGCACAGCCACCTCCAAGAACAATGCCTTCTTCAACAGCAGCTCGTGTTGCATTGAGGGCATCAATAACTGTTTCTTCTCATTCACTTCCACATCACTTGTCCCACCAACCTTTAGCATAGCTACTCCATCTGAAAGTTTTGCAGACGTTCATTCAGTTTTTCCTTTTCATAGTCACTAGTTGTGAGGTCCAACTGCTCAATGCTTTCTTGAACACGCTTTTCAATTTGAGCCTTGTCACCTTTTCCTTTCAAGAGCATGGCATCACCTTTGGTCACAATGACCTCTCCAACTTTTCCTAAGTCGTGAGGCTGAACGTCTTCAAGATTCAAGGTCAATCCCTCTTCTCCAAAGACTGCACCACCAGTAGCAATGGCCACGTCCTTAAGCTGGTTCTTTCTATTATCACCAAAACCTGGGGCTTTGACTGCTACAGCCTGAAGACCAACTTTTAGCCTATTCAAACGAGGGTGCTTAGAGCTTCCCCATCAACATCTTCAGCAATTATGACCAAAGGCTTACGGTGAGCATTGGCAATTTCAAGAGCAGGTAGAATGGACTGGATGCTAGAAATTTTCTTTTCACTTAATAGAACATAGGCATACTGGAATTCACATTTGGACCTTTGACTGTATGTATAAATAAAATATGGAGAAATATAACCTCGGTCAAACTTCATTCCTTCAATCATTTCAAATTCATCATTCAATGTTTTTCCATCCTTTACAGTGATGACGCCCTTTCTTCCAACCTTTTTCATTGCATCAGAAATGATGGTGCCAATTTCTTTGTCTCCATTTGCAGAAATTGTAGCTACCTGAGCAATTTCTTCAGGTGTTGTCACAGGTTTAGATTGCTTCGTAAGCTCAGCAATTACAGCATCAACAGCTACCATCAAGCCTCTTCTGATTTCCACTGGATCAGCACCTTTGCTAATCTTCTCAAAGCCTTCCTTGGCGATAGAGCGTGCCAGTACAGTGGCCGTGGTGGTACCATCACCGGCCTCTTCATTTGTGTTATTGGCAACATCTTGGACAAGTTTGGCCCCAATATTCTTGTATTTATCCTTTAAGTCAATTGATTTTGCAACCGTGACACCATCTTTTGTTACTTTAGGACTTCCCCAACTCTGCTCAATAATCACCGTTCTTCCCTTTGGCCCCATAGTAATGGCTACAGCATCGGCTAAAAGATCTATGCCTTGAAGCATTAGGGCTCAGGCGTCTGCACCAAATTTTACATCTTTGGCATAAGCCCAAGTGAGGTGAGGAGCCAGTACCCGGGACACTCGCCTCACTTGACTGCAGGTAATCGGAGCATTTCTGCGGGCGGGCGGCGGCGTGCAAGTGGAGAGACAGGCCGTCTGCGGCGAGTGAGGGACAGAGTGCCAAGGATCTGTTTTTATGTCTTGCTTCCTTCTTGACCTTAGTTGACTGGCCCCATGTGTCGGCAGAACTGGCCAACAAACCAAGGCTATATATCAGGAGATCAATAAACTTAAGATCAGAAGAATTATGTTCAAATGTTCACTCCAACCCTTATTGGCTTACACATGGTGCTCACACTTGAATGAGGCGCTCCATCTAACCTATCTTAGTTTCAGCAGAATTTTCTACCTAAAGCTGGAAGATGCTATCTGTTTGGCATTCCTAATTCAACTGAGGGAATTCAATGACAAAAGTCCTGTGAAAATGCTGTGTCATGTCAGTGAGCTAAAGTAGGGGTGTACAGCCTGCAGTGAGGTGGAGGTCAGTCAATCCTCAAAGGCTGGCAGCTGTCCCCCAGGACGTCTGTTTGCTTCTTTAGTGAATTTATCTCAGTTGGGAACCTGGTCCTCGGTGCAGTAGACTCAAGCCTCCTAGCTCAACTCAGGGACATGACACTGCATACCAGGGCAACTCACCTGAGGTTCACTGGATAATGGATAACCCAGAATGACAATTTCCCCAATATCTCCACCCACAGGCACACCCCCTTGGTGTTTGCCAACAATCACCTGTACTCTTTACCTAGGAATAGAGATTAAGTTACCTGAGCAGGAAATCAGACAAGCCAGAGCGTCATGCAAGCAGAAAAGTGTTTATGTGAATGACTGAAAGCCCCTCCTGACACCTGGCAGGACACAGGGCCCTCGGGAGAGAGGTGGAGAGGCGAGTCACTCTGGAGTTGCACAGGAGGGCACGTCTTCTGGCTCTGGCTGGCACGGATCGCGCACATTTCTCCCAACTCCATGTTCAACTCCCTCTTTGGTAAGTTGGAATTGGCTATGGTAGAAGTATTTATGGCATTTGGAAATCATCAGATGTTACAAAGCAGGGTGTTTTTGCTTGTTTGTTTGTTTGTTTGTTTGTTTGTTTTTAATGTCTGAAATCTGGTTGCTAAGCATTTAGCTGCATATCACTGGAAGGAAGGCAGAAATGGCCCTGAGATTTTAGCCCCATTGAGACCATCTTAGCACTGAGAAGTGCTGGACAGGGGAATGCTTTGTAGAAAGTATATTACCACCTATTAAAGGAGCTCCAGTGGCCCTGCCCAATAAATGTTAGACTGCTAAACACAAGGTTGGCAGTTCAAACCAGTGGCAGTAATTGGTGAGAGAGAGGAGGCTATCTATACTTATAAAGATTTATCGTCTTGGAAATCCCGTATAGGGTTGCCATGAGTCAGGATCAAAGCAACAGGAGTGGCATATTAGTGGCGCAATAGGCCCACCAGCCCTACAAAGTGTGCTTCTACTTAGATTAGGAGCCCTCAACCCTGAGAATCCCCGAGGAACTTCAAAAAGCACTAATGCCTAGGTCTCGTTACTAGGAGACCTAGTATATATCCTATGTTACATGTTGGGCTGCTAATTGCAAGGTCAGCAGCTCAAAACTACCAGTTGCTTTTCTGGAGAAAGATGAGGCTTTCTACTCCTGTAACAAGTCTCAGAAACACATAGGAACAGTTCTACGCTGTCCTATAGGGTCATTATGAGTAAGAATCAACTCAATGACAGTTTTTTTTTTTGAGGTCCCCAAAAATGCTGTTTTCATTGATGGCATAGCCTGGACACGGATTTTTTTTTAAGGGTCCCCAGGGGTGATTTTATGGGTTCATTAGACCTCCAGGATTATAGATCCAGACAATATATTTGAAACTCAGATAAAATGGAAGAGCTTTCTAAATTATGGAAGCATAATTTAGCAATCAGTAGTTAGGCTTCTACCAGACACAGACTCAAGTTAAATTGCACTTCTAATTAAAAAGACGAAGTGGCTAATTAGGAACACTGAACTAATACGACAGTTACAAAGATACAGAATTACAATAACATTTGAAAGAAATAAAACACTTATAGCCAATGGTCCCTCTAAAATGTGTGAAAGATCTGTCCACTAACACTCCAGGTGAGCCTTGTCCCCCAATATTAGTAGAACACCTCTTAAATAATTTACTCTAAAACCTACTGCTATCGGAACTTCTCAAAGCAAAATAAAACCAAACGAAATGGGGTTTGGGGCTCTAGAGCATTACACCGCTATGGCTGTTCTAGAGGAGAAAGGCCTGGTGGTGTAGTGGTTATGAGTAGAGCTAAGCTCTGAAAGACCGGGCTTTCTGCTCCGGTAAACAGTTACAGTGGGACACCCACAGGGTGCTTTCCCTGGGTCGCCCACCCTGAGTCGGCATCAATGTGACGGAAGAGAGGTGTTCGGTTTTTTTAATTCACATATAATTTACAGAGAGCCCCTTATTAAGTCTTAAATGGGACAAAAGCCAAGACAAAGACTCATCATCGGATTAATGGAGACCAATAGCACGAGGCCATAAAGGTGCCCAGGGACTCTCAGCATAAGGCTACTTAAAACAAAAGGGAACACAAATGAAATTGTCACAAGATCAGGATCGGCCTCGGACCCCTTCATCACAGTTACAGGCAGAACTTATTTTAGGAATCAAAACAGACCCTGATCTTGTGTATAATTTCAGGAGACCATCTATGAACCCTTA